GCATGTCAGAGCCTTCCTGTTTCAGTGGCTATCCCCTCTATTCCATTGGCCTAGAGGAGTCAGACCCTGACACCATCCAGTCATGATCTTGAGTCAGAATATGAACCACCCACTCAATGTGACCCGCATTTTCAATGCCTTCTTCCCCTTGGGAAGTCAACAGACACCCATCCTTTATACTGTAGCAGCAACCAGCCTATGCACAGGTGTGCCTGTTAATCCATGAGTTGAGGCTCAGGGTTGACCAGTTTATAGTTTTTTGTCTTTTTATTGAGCATTATAGTAAATATGCAGGTTTTAATAACAGATAACTGGCTATCATATCTGTTTCAGTGGATTATTGCCAGTACATTACCATTCTGCTAGCATGGTCACAAGCAAATGCAACAGTGTGTATTTAATAATGAGGATAGATCATGTGCAGTAGGCTGTTCTCTTAAAGTTGCATTCATTTTATATGTATTTTTATTAATATTTTTTTTCACTTGGGGACAGAAGAACCAGATGACATACCCAGAGCCCTGATATGGTCTTACAGAGGTGCTATAACAAACATTAGAGCATAGTTTCAGACAGGCAGCAACATTGGCATTCATTTGGTGTCATGTTTTTGGCTACTTAATGAATCTAAATTCTCTCAAATCTGCTTTACGTTCTTTCTTAACATGCAGCCAGAGTCTACAGCTGCTCTAGTGGCAACCAGCAATGAGAGGCTGTACTTAGCATGCATTAAGCTAAGTGCTAATGTCAGCATGCAACATTTTTCTCAGTGACAATGTTAGCATGGCATTTGTCAGGTTTAATATGTATCCATATTCACCATAGTAGTTAAATGTATTTGTATGCTATAAAGTCATTGATAATTGTGTTTTCGAAACAATGTATGTCTGTACAAAATGCTATGACAATTTATCCAGTAGTTCTTGGGATAGGTCTGTCTCAACATAATTTTGGTGGTTTTCACATTGGGAGTGATCACTTTCACATTGTCTAGTCATTTCTTTTGGTTTTCTATAAATTTATTCTTTATAAGAGCTATAATGTCCACACAGTTTTAACCTTTTAAATTTGTGGCCTCGTTCAATTTGTAATAGGTTAAGTAAATAGCAACATAGCGGTTTCTACAGTTTTCCTGAATAATTGCAGCATTGCCTTAGGAAATTTTGAGCTGTTTTATGAACAAATTTACTTGATTCTAGGATGGCCTCTCTTTATGATCACACCCCCACACACAATTGTAGCCCCTGCCAATTAAGGGTAATTATAAAGTGTGTGGATGCTACACTTGCAAACTTCTATGCATCTCAGCTAGCCTCATTAGAAATGGGCCCCGGTCCCAGGAGCTAAATTAGGTGCTGCTCTGAAGTGATTCGATTCAGTTCAGTCAGCCAAATGACAAAAGTCATCTCAGGGTACTTACTTGTTAGTAAGGTCTAGACCTTAATATTAAGAAAAACCCAACAAATCCCCCTTGAGCAGCACTTGGTGACAGCAAGGAGGAAAAACTCCCTTTAACAGAAGAAAGCCCTGACAGACCCCGGCTCTTGGTGGGCGGCCTTCTGCCTTGACCAGTTGGGGTGAGTGGATAGAGGAGAGAGAAAAGAAAAGAAAAACAACAAGACACAACAATAAATAATCAAACACTGGTCAGGTTGATGTTCCCTTAAAGGAAGAAAACCCATCTATTTTGTGTTGTATTTTTTTGGTTGAAGGAATTTCGTTAACAGTTTGGAGTTTTGAAGCATTTGGCTTATACTGACGTTCTGCTTTCTAAAATAGGCTGTGCTTGTCTGTCAAAGACGAGTATGGTTACATTGTCTTCACATCACAAGTTTTCTCACATTTGAGCTCACTATCATTAAGTAATTAACAGCACAGAGGTGTCGCTTTCTAAACAAGTTCTTTTCCTCTGTTCACTGTGTGGATACAGCCTCTTACATCCTTCCAAAAACCAAATGTCATTCTGTCAGCTGTAATTACAGGAATCTTCCCATCTTCACAAGGCACTGCTTGACAGAAGAGACCCTAAATTGGATGAAAAGTAAGGCAGGAGCTATGAGTGGACAACAGGGTTTTGGGGTCAATTAGAATTTCTGTTTGGCATTTAATAGCAGCGTGGAACCTCTGTCTGGTTAGCCATGCTGTTTCCAGGCTTGAACCATTTGGCCATTAAAAGCTTTTGTCCATGTAGAGGTGAGAAAGGAAGTCCAAATGGCATTTATATCTTTTATTTTTATTGGACCCTACACAGTATAGGTAGACCTAACATCAGAACAAAGACAAATTAAAGGAAAAACCAACAATGTCTCAGTAAGGTGTTGGGCCTTCACGTGCCGCCAGAACAGCTTCAGTGCACCTTGGCATTGACTCTCCACGTCTCTGAACTCTACTGGAGGGATGAACACCATCCTTCCAAAACATATTCCCTCATTTGGTGTTTTGATAATGATGGTGGAGACGCTGTCTAGCACGTCACTCCATAATCTTCCATAGGTATTCAACTGGGTTGAGATGTGGTGACTGGGAAGGCCACAGCTTACGATTCACATCATCTTCATACTCTCCAAACCATTCAGTGACCCCTCGTGCCCTATGGATGGATTCAGAAAGGGAAAGAATGAGAGCTAGAATGCAGAAGTGTAAGTTTTAACAAAGCAGCTCTCATTCATAACAGCTCCTGTATATAGCTGTTTCTAATCAAGAATATGTCTAAGTTGCAAATGGCCCTGCCATTCTCTGCCCTTGGTTTTTTGGTTGTGGAAGAAGAAAGGAGGCTGTGGAGGTGAAAAACAAGGAGAAACCGCACTAAATAGGTGAAATCACAGATACTGCAGCGACAGGTTGAAGGGTCTTTCCGCGAACCGTTCTCTTCTTGTGCATTGATTCGCTAAGCTTAACAGCCAATCAGAGTGGTCTCTCCCTCTCTGACGAGGCCCAGTGAGCTGACAATGATTCTACATGTTGAATCAGCCGAAAAGCTGACTAGTGTGTCATCTGTCGGGTTCAGATGCCACAGTCGTGGACACAGGTTGGGTTCAGATGGAAATATGCTGCCCGATCCAAGTTGTAACACAGCTATCCTGTCTAAAATAAACTAACATGAGTGTAAATATTATGAGAAATAGTTGTTTGGGGCACCCTGATAGCCGAATGGTTACACTGCGGTACACCAGGCAGTGTGTGTGCAATGTCAGCAGTTCAAGTCTGGGCCACTGACGTTTGTCATACTGTAAAAATACCTTAAAAATTTTATTATAAAGTAAAACAAAGAAATTGTTTAAATAGCAAATTCTTTAGTTTATTTACCCATGATAAAGTTGATATATGATAAAGCTCTTGTGATAAAATGTTTGTCCTTCATAAATTTTTCTGCTGCCTGTGGTACTGTAGCAAACAGGAGAATTAAGGCTGTGTGGTCAGGAGACCCAAGCTCATTCTACATTTTGTCACTGGCACTCAGCAGTGTCCTTTTCTTTATACCTTTGTTTATTACCCTTTTGGCATGAATCTAAAAAGTGTTTGTGGATGTCCTGTTCCTTCCTTTTTGTTTTTTTTTTTTCTCTTTCTGTCGAGTCTGCTTGGCATTTATTACCCCACGGTAGAGGGGAAAACAAGTCTGACATTGGCACAAAGCAGGAGGAGGAATTCTGATGAGTTACACACAAATGCTCATAATAATTACATTGATACATCTAGAAGAGATTTGGATTCCATGGTGCCATCCAGAGACACTGCTTGTTGGATTTGAGAGCAGATTAAAGCCTGGGGAGGTCAGTGTTGTTCAGACTCTGGAAGAAGGACAGTAGGAAGCTGGGAGTTTCAATATAAATGTAAAACAGTCTGGAAGCCACAAACAAGAGCTGTTCCCTTTATTTTGATGCTGACACTTGACAGCAAGTACAAGTACTTCCACACACACTAAATACTGCCTCAGAAAATGATACAGTCAATCTCTCGATGCCTACTATATTTCACTCTCAACAGAACATTCTGTTTGGCTTTTGTATGAGTGCTGGTTGATGCAAGTGACACCCAGCGGCTGAAAATGAACCCAACACTGAGCCTTTAACATTTTTTTATTTTCTCATTTTGCTTTATGCAACCTCTTTTCGACGCTTGTTGCTAAACCTCTCTTCTCTCACTCTTGTATTATTTCAGAATAATCAGGTTTTTCAAATACAACTCCAAGGATGTGAATTCATTTAGTACTTCAGTGTTTTTAGCTACTCTAGAATTAGCTCTGTGCAGTGCTGGACTGTCAGTCCATCACTTTGTCCAGGCTAGAATAAGTAAAGTTATTTTTAGTTTAAAAAAGTATAATGCTTTACTTTGGTCAGATCACATTGTCACCCCAAAGCTAGCTAATTATTATCTGAGTACTTGTGATGAAAGTGTTTCCTAAACCAAATAATGATGTTTGTTTCTGAACAAGGCCAAATGCACTGTTGGTTTTACAATTCCTTACAAGAGTCTGTTTTGTAGCTCCTGTTTGCCACTGAATGGCTCATAAGGTAGATTATGAGAATAATGCTAAAAAATAAACTTGTGTGTTGCCCTGAGAATGACAATGTTAGGCAGGTGCAAAATGAAAGGAGACCACTGTTTTTGTTTGTTTTGTTTTCTATATTTATTTTTATGCTACTGCTGTGATGTAGCCTCTGGCCACTGTTGGCAGCATTGGATGCACAAGACTGTACTAGACAATATTTTTTTTTTTTTTTCATTAACTTCCAGTCAGTTTGTATTTGCAGTATTGTTTTCATAATGAATTTTTTGAACCAGTCAGTGACTAAAATTTCACTTTAAAATAGATATGCAGGACCATAATACATACAGTAGTCTGACAGTCATGGATCAGGGCTATGTATATCTATGTTCACTAGCCAAAATAAACAGATGTGCACATGGTACAATAGGGATCTGTGTTAGAAAGAAAATAGAAGCACTCTCTCTTTGGCTCCTGCGTCATCTTAACACTTTGTATCCTTATCTCTCTGCAGTTCTGGATATGGCACGCCATGTGCCTTTATATCGGGCACTACTGGAACTGCTGAGGGCCATTTCCACCTGCACAGCCCTGGTCCCTCTGCTGCTGCCTCTGTCAGGAGACCCTGCTCAGGATGAGGAGGAAGAGGATGAAGAACGCTCTGAGGGACAGACTTCTGTTGGTATGCTGCTGGCCAAGATGAAGACATGTGTGGACACATACACCAATCGCCTCAGGTGAGATGACAAAATGCATATAACATAGTGGGGCTTAGTGGAATTTGTTTTTTCAGGCTTCAGAATTTTAATATTAGAATACAAATATTAACTACCGTACTTTCCACACTATAAGCCGCTACTTTTGTCGCTTCATGCACACACCCTCATCATGGACAACACACGACGAAATGCATATGATGCCGCTTCAAGTTACAGGCGATCGATCTGGCTGTCGAAATATCACGTGTTACAACGTGGACACCTGTGGCTATGTACAACTTTTTTTTTCGTCTTACATTTAGTGGGTGCGGCTTATAGTCCGGAAATTACGGTATTACATCAAAATTAATAGTTAGACATACTTTAACTGACTTTAACTTTGTGAAGTCCCTCTACAGGGTGGTGGATGACTTTATACATGTTCATACTTTGATCTAGCCATGATCCCACCGTTCTAGAAAATGCACTCCACCTCTTTTCGATATCATGAACTGGAAGTGTTTGTATCTACAGCCCTGTTTACACATGAGACTGAAATACACTCTGGGTATAGGTATACTTCCAGTCAAAACTTTGCAGTTTTTTTAAGGAGTTCAAGTCCTGTGATTAAAAATGTCAACAAAAAATGTATGTAAAGTTTATATAAAACACGCCTCTTTCAGGGATCACCTAGCAGGTTAAATTCCATCTTTATAAATTCCATTAGCTGCTTTATAAATATGCAAAAATTTCTAAACTTCTGTTTTTGTTTTGTTATTAGAGTATTGAGTGTAGATTGAGAGAAAAAAATGTTGAAATGATTTTAGCATAAGGCTGTAAATTAAGAAAATGTGAAAAAAGTGAAGGGGTCTGAGTACTCTGTGACATGACTATGTGCATATATGTACATACAGTATGTATATACGTGTAGGCATACATACACACAAACAAGCTAAAATATGTGGCCACAACATGTTGTGTGAGCTCATCTGCCTTACTCACAACTGTTGCAAGCTTCTTGTTAACATAAATTCATGGCAAAGTGCGTTATTATGAATTTAGTATCTAATGGTATTTTTAGAACTTGCCTGTCATGAAAATAGTAGCAGCCATCCTGTGGTAGCATTGTTTTTTTTTATTTGCCTCATAAAGAAAACAGTATAGTTCCTGACAAGTCAGTGAGACAGCAGTGGATCAGTGATGCTGTAACATAGCTCAGGCAACAGTTTTGACCACTGAAAGCTTTAAACTTACAATATAATTAGCTTTTATGTTTGTAGCTACTACATGATGGATTATTTTTATCAGAATATCAAAATATTAAATGTGCCTCATTAACAAGTGAAAAAGATTATCTCTGTTAATGGGCCCAAAGAGAAATGTGTAATTCAGCTAGTGAACAATTTGTAGACAACATTCATCTTTTAAAAGGTTAGGATATACCTTACAAGAATAGTAACAAGAATGTCTCTGATATCCAAGCGACACCGTATCACTTGAAATTAGACATGGGTGATATGGATAGAGCAGTTACCAATATCCACAGTAATATGTGCCAGAAATAATAGCCTACATGGTGGTGTATGTTTATAACACAACACCAGTATGCTCAAAGTATAGTAAATCCCCTGAGGAGGTCACAATTTCCTGAATAACCTAGCAAGAATGACTTTTTTGGTTAATACAGTAAATGAATCAGTACTTTGTGAAACTGATACCAAAGTCATATAAAAAGAAAAACTAAGGCCCAAAACACACTGTACTTCATACAAGTACTCTTCATTCAGACAGGAATGCAGCTGAAACAGCTTGTGTTTGTACCACTGTACTCATTCCTTTGTGTCAGCCGGGCCAGGCATTGTCATTTGCTTTTGTGTACAGTACTTGCATGAAGTACTGTATCTTTCAGGCCTAAGAGCCTCAAGCCTTTGGGCAGCATTGTGAGACTTTAGTGCTAACATCACCACGTTGATGTTAAGCATGTGTAAGCTTTACCACAGTCACAATTTTAGTTTAGTGTGTGTCTGTGCTAACATTTGCTGATTAGGAATAAATGGAAAATCCCAATAAGAATGCCATTGCTTTTTGGTCATAAATAAATAAAGACAGTACTGAACAAATACAATTCTTGACCCAATGATGGTGCTGGATGAGAAGTCTGAAATTCACTAAAGTCATTAAGAGTTCATCATGAGCAGAACATGAATGTATGTACCATATTTAAAGCTAATTAATCTACACTTGTTGAAATTTTTCACTCAAAACCACAAATATGAATTCCATAGTAGCTCTAGAAGAAAAAGTCAGCAGGTCCCCAAAGTCATTAGGATTCATCTTCTGGGAACTCAACCAGTTATCCAAATTTCTAACCAATCCATCTCGAAGATGAATTGGGCCGATGATTGAAATAGTTTTGAGAGTAAGAGATTTCAGTTTTTGATTCTTGATTTAATTTTCAGAAAAATCTATGACCATGGTTTCATAGATCATATAGATCATGGGTGGTTCACTGTATAATGATGGCTAGAAATGGCAGTTGTATCCATTCAGAACTGAGTCCACAAAACAATACAATGTGCAGGGATTACTTTCTGTGTAACTCACAGGATAAATGAAAAGCTTGATTTCTTGGTGGCACTACAGGGAAAATTTGGGTGTCACCGGTCAGTAGAGTTCATTTATGGTTTGGATAAAGTGCCAGCTGTTTCTAATATTGAACAATTGTTTAGCAAGAGCCTTAATGTGAGGTTTACATTATCCTATGTGATAGAGGAGTTGGCAGTACACATTTAAATCAATGGCGATGGTTCAAGGTAGATGTGTTTGACAGCAGAACAGCTTGACACCTTGAGCTCTATCCTCAACATACTTTATGCTCTGTAATTACATTTTTCCTATATCTGTTAAATGATGTCTGTGCTGCGGCACAAAGATCTTATTAAACAAAAGATCACAATTGGAACAGATGTTAGATCAAAACTGAATAATTTAAAGCTGCCTTTTTCAACCGTGACCCTGCTGCTGCAGAGTAGCTCAGGACACTAGTAAATAAGTTTAAAAAGTGGATAATGCATTCCTTTTATTTTCTGGAACACAGCGAGTGTCTAATGTATTTTGATGATATTAGGCTTGGTAACAGCATTGTATAGTCACAGGTATAACATTGGTGTTTTATGTGTATTTGTGTGCACACACATCAGGATTTCTGAGGCTTAGAAACCTTGAAACACACAGGTGCACTTGATCTCACAACTAACACACAGAAGCTTTAATGAAAGAAGAGCCTGAGGGCAAATGGCCAGTCAGGGAGGCTGATCACTTAGCATTCTCTCAGCTAGTCTGGTGTTAGCCTGTCTGATGTACTTCAGTTCAACAAACAGGCAGTCAGACAGGAACAGTACAGATTCAAAGGATGGGGACATCGTCATTATCTATAGCTGGGGATTCTGGGATGAGGACGCCTATGTGACTGCTGTTCTCACATAATAAATTTGCCAATAGGCAAAAACTTGCAATGAATCCATCCATCCATCCATCCATCCATGAATTTCTAACATATGGTATCATTACCTTAAGTTGAGTGTATGGCATCCACTTGTTAGAGTGGATTTGTCATTAATTTGGAATGGTGTTGTGTCCACCTGCGGAACACAAGCCCAGTATTTACCCTTTTAGCTCTGTTTTTCATCTCTACCAACTCCTCAGAGAACTGTCTGGTTCTTTAGCTCTGCTGTGTTCGCCAGCTAGTTTCTGTCCTCTGGTTCTGAACAGATGAAGTCTGCATTGGGCAGCTGGAAACAACACCACACGAGTGGAGAGAGAGAACCAAAACCGTACATTTACAAGCTGGACAGTTAATCAATGAGCTAAAACTTGCTATAAAGATTTGTAAAGCCGAGGGGAGCTGCAGATTCAGGTGATAATTCTTTTTAGGTTTCTCACTACAAGCCACACCTTTTGCATTGTAAGTAGTAGTTTTATTTTTTATCTTAGTTTAAGGTATAGTTTTGCAATCCTCTGTTTTCATATTGTTTTAATGTCAACAATCACCAGCAATTTCTGACAGATGATCCAATGGCCACTAGCTCTCTCATAACATACTTTAAAATGTCAGTCAGATCTCACGTCCACAGCGGTTGTCATTAGCCTATATTTTGATTCATTTAATCAGGCAATATAGTCAGTGTAAAAATATAAAGTTTGTCTGCAGCCACAGCTTGGTTTTCACGAACAGAGATTTCTCCATCCCTGCTCCCTCCTTCTTTTGGTCTTGTGTGTATGTATGTCTCTTTAAGTATACAAACAAAAGCTAGGTCTGTAGTGCATAACTGAAAATAAAACCATTTGTCATTAATTAAAGGCATTTAGTGTATAAGAAATGAACTTAAGGTTTTCAAGCATGTCAGCTGATTGTATACTGTGCTGCATATGGTTAACTTTGATACCATTTGTCCATACGGCTTATGGATTAGGAAAAAGCATTCGATTTAAGAGATTTTAAGGAGCCAAACCCCCATATTAAACTTTCATTTCCACCTCTTGAAAGTTTACTTTGCTATTTTTGTTTTGTTTCCTGTTCCATTTTTCAGTTTTCTGCGTCTTACAGTATCTTGAGTCAAGTAAAGCCTTTTTTTGCCTCCCCAACCAACACACCTCTCTTCCCAGATGGCATGCTGGTTGGGGTCAGGAGTTCCTCATAGTGTTTTATCTGCCACCCAACAATATCACAAGTGTTAGCAGTTCTTCTCTCATACTGTAAAAGCCCTGCTTTTCTTTCCTGAACTGGCTGACAGTTTGCCAGAACTTTTTTGAGGTCAACTGAAAGTCTCCATAGCCTCCCCAAACTCCTCCTGTATCTGGGTTACTGGCATTGATGGTTTTGTTTTGAAGAGACTCTCAGCTGCTAGCCAGTGCAGTATCTAGGATATATATTGTAAAGTGTCTTGACAAAAAAAGATGTCATTTGTCAAAGTTTTTTGCAATGTCCTGCTTCACTGACTGCCTCTTCAAGAAGATCTGTTGACCCTTTGGAGGAAATCACTTATCTAGACAAAACTGTAAAAAAAAAAAAAAAAAGCAGTGAAAGCAACAATATAACAGTTTTTTTTAAGTGGATTTGTAGCCATCTGACTGTTACTCTTGGTTCTGGAGCATTCACCTTCATGGCCCACTGACCATAAATAGACCAGGCTCACATTAATTTGTTGTCAGAGCTATCATGTGCCACAGACCAACCTTAGTGTTGGTTTGTGGTGTATCTGAAAATCCCAGTACCTACCTCCAATTGACATTACCCCACATAATGTTTTTTACGCCTCTGCCCCAGGGATAGACAGCCAGAGACATTATGTTTTCCGGTTGTCTGTACATCCAGCTGCCCCATTCTTTTGAACACAGTATGTCAGGAACACCTTGAGAGAATTTCTTCAAATTTGGCAAAAACATCCGCTTAGGCTCAAGGATGAACTGATTAGATTTTGGTAGTCAAAGGTCAAAGTCAGTGACTTCTCGTCTCTCTTTCCTGTGAATGTTACTGGTTGGCAGAGGCATACTACCATGGAGTAATTCTAGTTTAGGGTATCTTGCTTTGTGGCAAGTTTTATGTTTTTCTTTTGTTAAATTGAGTCCCAATTAGGCCTGTATGTTGGTATTGCCAGACTAGCAAAAGCGGTTTTGACCTTCTCCAGTTTACCCCAAAAGTCAAACTTTAGACTGCACTGAAAGCAACTTTTCACATAGGGGAAAAAAACCTCCACTTTATCCACTGAAAAATACAAGGACAGTGCCCCAGATTGTAAATCGCAGGAGAGGAAATGGCAAGTTCACCAAAAAGCAGAAGGCAGTTGAGGCTGTAATTTTTCTGGAGAGGAAGTGAAAAATTACCTACATATATACTCATTTTAAACAAGTTTCCTACCTTACAGGAACTCATTGGTTTTAGTTCACCTTAGTACATTATCAAAATGAACTCAGAGCTTTGAAACTTGCTTAATATAGCTAATGCATTATAATGAAACATTATAAATGGGGGGGGGATTGCTGTGCATATGTTGCAAGATTTTTTCAAATATACTCTCTCATTGAATGATCAGAATTGGAAAGTCTGCATGCTACTTAGTAAACAAAGTAGTTAGCAAAGATGTAACTGCACAGTAGTGACACTTTCAAAAGTAAATGTCAGGAGGAACATATGAAAATAAAGAGCTCTAATGAGAAGAGAGTTTCTGCAGAGCAACAGCAGTACCATATGAGTTTGAGCCAGAGGATAATGAGGGGGGCATTGATGAAGAGGGCAAGAAGACATTGACATTACCACTATGTCATCAGGTCAAAGCAGAGCACCAGGCCAGTCCTACAGTTGTAACACATGCCATACTATGCAGGTAATAACGGAATAGTTTGCTATAAATGGGATATACTGAAACCAAACCCTGAATTTTAATGTGGGTTTGTCACCTTAAAGTTTAGTTTTGAAAGTTTACCGACTTCTGCAGAATATTAGACAACCTGAAATATGGCTTGGTGAATGACTGGCACTAAAATAAGTTCTAAATTAATGGTAGTTATTTAACTTAAATGTGAAAAATCACTAGTGCAGTTCTTTAGATCTTATACTAGTTGTTTAATCATTCCTTTTTATCCCAGCGATGTTTCTGTCAGTCAGAACGTTCCTGTCTTCACACCTCCCTTCTTGTTTTAATACTGCTACAGCTATTGTTGGGTGGTTGGCTCTAGTTAAATGTGTTTGATCTAATCACTGGAGAATGCTACAATGATACAACAGTAAGCCATACCTTCTAGAGAAAAGAATGGATTTCTGAAATTCAGGTTATCAAACAGCACCCAATACTCCACTATGGCTGAATGTATATTTGTGTGTTCTGTTCCAGGTCAAAGAAAGATAAGAGTAAAGGTGTGGTGAAGACAGACACCTCAGATCCAGAGCCTGAGGGTCTGACTCTGCTGGTGCCTGACATTCAGAGGACAGCTGAAATAGTCTACGCTGCTACTACCAGCCTACGCCAGGCCAACCAGGGTATGTTTACAATGCACATTTTTATTGTAGCAGTAAATTTCATGTTTTCTATAGTGTTTGATTTCAATCACAGCCTGAAGACTCTTGGGTCAAAGCAATATATAATTTCATCAGGACCATGCCCACATAAACTCAGTTTCATGTAGAATGTGTTTGAGTTGGGATTTTGAGCAGAAATGTTAAGCTGTAGCAAACTTTCAAAACACAAGCCTGTACTATATTTTGCATCCTTGCTCTTGCCCTGACTAACAGCCTCTGTTGGCAGACATCCAGTATTTTTCATTTCCCTTCTTTCAACTTGATCAAAATTATTTCCGCAGGGCCTAGCTCCCCTTTCTCTCTCTCTTTTTCGCTCACACCCTCATCTGTTGTCTGTCTCTCACCCTCTTGGTTCAAGGACAGAAAATGAGTTTCTAAGTTTAGTTTATCAAAAGGTCTGAATGCCATCCTCTTTGATTAACCACAACCCAACAATTTAATCTTAATCAACGAAGCCATTAGCCTGTTTTTAAAGTTGAAATTGACCCAAAGTCTAAAGCTAGAGGATAAAATCAACCATAGGTGTTGCTTCAAATGTCTTATGTGGTCTCGGTCCCTTGAGGTCAGTGATGTACTGTGCACTTGCAAGGATTTATTTCTAAAACTGGTCCACAATCCTTGGTATCCTTTGTGAGGCTCTGAGCTCTCTCCCAAGCCCTATGGAAAAGATGGACAGTCTCTTCAAGCTGTGTCACAGGATTCAGACTTTGAAGGATTAGCGCAAAGTACAGAGCTTAGCTTGTTTTTGTACATGAGGATATAAAGAAAGAAAGAAGACTGTTCTAGCAGCACCATCAATAAAATGTCCACCCCATGATGAAACGTTACACCTCACCCATTATTTTGTTGCTACAAAGTACATAATATTAAGATTCACCTATTTTTTTCCAACTCCATCTGGCTATCTAACTGATCACTTAGGTGACGAGTTGGCCATAAGATGTGATGGAACTGTGAATGCGTGGTTGGGGATACTGATAAAGATCAATTTCATTTCACTTCTCATAAAGAAATCCATATGATAAAGGCCTCTGTAGCTACACATCATACAAAGTTGTATTGAGGAAATTTCAACATTAGGGTCTAGACATGTGTATAATCGGTCAAGGCTTTGAGAAATATCTTTGAGAGATGCCATGACCAGACAGAAGCAGGACAGTATTGATTGAGGGGGAGAAGTATTCCGCTGAAGCATCGATATACCAGTCTTTAATAAACAATCCACATAAATGATGATCTCAGTGGTCCTTGTTTTCTTATATACATTTCTTGGGCTCCTGTGGATTCTAGTTTTTTTTTTTTTTTTTTTCGTTAAATATGTCTTTGTGATAAATCAGGGAAAGTTTATTGGACCTCTTTTAATATGTGTATGTGTGTGTCTATACACATATATAAATATATATATAACTGTGTGTGTGTGTATATGTATATATATATATATACACACACACACACACACACATACACACGCGCGCACACACACACATACTCTTTCACAGGTCTAGTAAAGATTGCTATAATTGTTTCCTCCAGGCCTTTTGTAGTATGTCTTTGTGTGCATGCCTGTATATCTGTATATATGTGTGGCTGTATAACAAAGATCAATGCAAAAATTGCAGGCAGTTGCTTTTTAATGTGACTCTTCTGATAAATAGTCCTGTGGCAGGCAGGCCTTGCAAGATTTTCACAAGGGAAGCTCTTCCCACACTTATGCTTCTGTGCCACAGTTACACTCTGAATGCCTAAACCCTGCTCTTTTTTCACTCTGGTCATAATGATTTTGCCCTCCTATCCCAAACCCCACCTCCTTACCAGAGAGAAAGCTGGTAGAGTCTTCAAGAAAGGTGTCAAGCCGGCCTAAGCCCCTTTCCATCCTACGCTCTCTAGAGATAAAATACGTCACTGCCATGAAGAAGCTGCAATTTGGTGAGCTTACATTTACTTTGTGATGTGGGCATGTCTGCATGCACATTCATTCTGTTCAATTCAGTTTTATTTGCATAGTGCCAAATCACAACAAAAGTCATCTCAGGACATTTTACAAAGACTGTACTATTATTATTATTATTTGTATCATTATTATTATTATTATTATAGAGGACAACCCCAGCAAATCCCCCCTGAGCAAGCATGTTTGTTTAAACATGGTTGCTGTTCATGCTTTTGGTTTTAGTTTGTGCACACTTGTCAGCAAGCACAACACTATAAAACAATTCCAAATACAGAGATACACACTTTTCTCTCTCTCTTACTGTATGTCTAACATGAGCCATAATGTCTTCATGCCAGAAATCAGAAAGGGAAGCAGATTCAGACTATGTTCACATCCTGCTCATCCCTTTTGTTTTGTCCATCACTCTCCATTCAGCCGTGTCATGATTAATTACACTGGCTTTGATGTGTTGCAATAAATTTTGTAAGCAGCTTGAGTTCTCAGGTAACTGCCAAGTGACTTGAGGGTAAACAGTGTTGTGTCAGAAAAACTGACAACAGTCAGGTCTAAAATATAACTCACTATAACAAGAGAGCAGTACATTTTTACGGGCATTACCAGAGACCAGTTTGCATTTATTATATAATGTGACTGACGATGTTCAGCAAGAGAGAACAGAACTATCTTGCCAGCATGCTAGTGGTAGATAAACATCTGGAAATGTCATCAAAATCCATTAA